CTCCTCTTCCTTCAGTTTTTATAGCTCAGACCATACTTGATTTTTTTTCCTCCTCAGTATATCTTTTCACATCAAAATCCATTTTATCAGGAAATAAAAAAGAAAATCAGAAATGAAATGGAGGAGCAGTGAAGAAGTTCAACCCTGTATAGATTTAATCTCAAACCAAACATGTACTGGTTAATAAACAGCACAAGGAAGGCTGAGAAATATCAAGAATTAAGTAAAACAAAGTGAAAGAAAGTTTAGCAGTCAATGAAATCTGTGGATTTAAGCAGATTTCTACAGTCATCAGAAAAATAGGAAAGGACAATCTTACTACACTCATCTAGTCCCAAAGGCCAAAGCAGATGTGTCCATCAGGTTGTAATTTCTGACCATAAAACTTTGCTTGAATAAAATCCTGCGTGTGACCTTCATACATACTGCTGCTCTACAAACCTCTGTTGCTCTACAGCTGAATCCCATTTAGTTATGACTCACTGCCTTATTTACTTCACTGATCACAATAAGCTTTCAAAAGCCATTACGAAGGCTTGAGTTGGTGTCTGTAAGCATACTCTGGTGACTACCCTGAATGACAAAAAGGTTGGGTTAGAAAAAAAAAGAAAAATAAGGCTCACATATGTGTGATTGCAATAGGAAAATATGTCCAAGAAAGTTAATTTCAAGCAGCTTCAGTCAAACCTATTTGTCACGTGCTATAGGCAACCTATAGAAGAGAACTTTGGATTATTGTAGAATTAGCATTCAAGATAAGTAAAACGTGATACTGTCAAAAGAAAATAAAAAGAAGTTAGGAGAAAGGAGTAAGATAAAAAACCCCACAGCCCTAAATGAAAGTAAAATGTTTACCATGGGGTTAAAACATTGCCAATGGATCTCCAAGGACAACACACATCTTTGGCCGAGCTCTGACTACTTTCCAGATGCTGTTGGGGCCTCAAGCACTGCAAATTCCTGCAGAGTTTGCTCCATAAGTCTCAGTGTGAAAATGGAAATGGCAGCATGAGGGCTGAGGAAACTGTGCTGCTCAAGGACGTGTATCAGCACGAGCCAAAGTATTATGTCTGGTCCAAGCTACCAAAGCCACCCCCTTTCCCCTTCACTTGCCACAAAAATGCAAAGGCCATCACACATTTTCCATCAGCCATTCAGCTACTGTATGGTTGTGCTACTAATGATAAATTAAGAACTGGAGGAAACAGCAGGCTCCAAACCACAAAATTAAAGCTTTAATTATTAGTGTATTAAAGTAAGCACCAGCATAATAAAACTAAGAGAAAGATAAGAGAACAGAGTGATTTTCTGACAAAAGAGAAAATAAGTGTTGTATTTATTTCAACCAAGTTTCCCAGTAAAGAAAAAAAGAGTTCCTTGAAAAGAAATAGAGAAGCATGTATTTTATAAAAAGAAATAACTACAGTTAAGTATAGGTAGACCTCAAACACTTTTGAAGGCCTGTCCCACCTCTATTTAAATACTGCTGTAAATTGGAGTCTCACAGGAAAGGAAGTAAGGATTATACTAATATATATCATTAACACCAGTATGGATCTGGATCATAATTCCTTGTTTCATAGTGCTAAATCACTGCCTAGCTGCTATACAATACCTGACAATCCCTACTTCTTTCAGTGTCTATAGACAAAGAAAACTTAAGTTTCTGTTTTTTCTTCGTGGTACCCAATGTGGGCACAGCATAAAAGAGCCAAATAACAATATTTTCCCTCTCTCAATCGCACAAGCACACAAATATTTTGAGACACCACACAGAAGAGTAATATAAATATTGTAGAGAAGAAGAGAAGAGGGAGGAAGGAACCTGCCATGTTGGACATTTTCACAGGTGTCACCGTGACAAATCTCAGCAACTGCACTGCAGCTTTCACAAGGGCATTGGGATGAACCACACTTACTGCTGGCCCTTTCTGTGGCCACCAGAAGAGAAGACTAATTTTCCTAACTTAAAGAACTTCATCTTCTGTTTCTATGCACTAGAACATGCCTATAAATGGTCCCTGAAGGCACTTCCAGTGATATTATGGGGTATGTCATTCACAGGTCTTCTAGGATAAAACTGCTCGGCTTTCCTATAGTATCATACCCCCAGTCAGAGCTGTTAAAGACATGCCTTAAGGTACAAGTGGAAGACATTTAAGGGCACTGTAATCACTTATAAAAACAGATTCTGAGGGAAGAATACAGTACTGCGCTGCTGGCAATCATCTCAAATTATTTATCTTCACATCAAAAAATCACTATGAAGTGTCTGAGTATTTCTGTTCACATTGTTTGGGAGTTATTTGCAAATTTCACTAAAAAAAATGAAATAAAATCTTATGCAGGCTGTCCATTACTGCATCATTATGAAAATAACTCTGCACCTGATATCTTGTTTCATGACATCTTTGCTCACGACTTGTTGGATTTTCGAAATGCACAGTCCTAAGTAAATTTTTATCCTTCTCTATTGAATGAAAAGGGCAGTTTAAAAAGAAATTTAGACCAATTTTAAGCTATTATTATGAATCTAATGTTTTAAACAAGCATTTTACCAAGCATTAAAAGTTGGGGATTTTAAAGGCTCTTCTGTAGTTTATACAATGAGAAAAAAGTGAAAACATTAAAAAACTCCAGATATTTTGACCTAAAACAAACCAAACTTTAAGCAGTTTATATTAAAATAATTAAAACAAGCAAATAATAAATTAAATGACTAGTATATTTTTTGAACATTTAGGCTGTGCTTGATAGAAGAGGCCCCAGACCTCAGACTCAGTGGTGTTACGATTCCAAGGAAAGGGTCATGCTTGCATGAAAAAGGCAAGCTTGAGAATACTGAATGTCACACACTGAAAAATATGATATTTAGTCTTGTTCTAGTATTTCTTTTACAAATAAAAAAACAGAATGGCCTGAACGTTTAAATTAATGGTTTTTTCCTGGTCTTTAATACAATGCATTTTTGCTAAGCATTTGTCCAAGTTATAAACCATGCCAATATGTGGCAAAAGTTAGAGTGGTCCCCTTCCCTGCTACTAACATTTGTAAGAAATACAATAAAGAGCAAGAGATGAGTGATATAGAGATACAGAGAAAAGGAGAAAGGCAAGAAACTGGTGCCAAGTCATTGGATTATTACACTGGAGCTTCTGCCTATGTTCAGTTAAAACAAAACACATTCACTGTGGTAAAATATTTTAACAAGCAAAATGTCACCAATACATGCATGCAAAAGATTAAAACCTTCGTTCTTCATTTGGATTGTTCCAAACAAAATACAGGGCCCTTAAAAAATAGGGAATATGATATCTACTAGGCATGCAGCTGTATTTGACCATGCATTTACAAGAAACAGTTTTTACTGGAAATTATTGAACTCATCACTATCATACCAGACCTTTCACTCCCCCAACAAATGGTAATGAAATTTAGGTCAAATCTGTTCCATCCACATTTCAAATGTTGACTATGCTTTCAACAACAACAAACACAACTTTTGCATTAAATAATAATTGAATATTGAAATATTGGACCATTAGCTCCTTTGGATTGTTCTACTTTACTAGGCATTCCTAATTTCTCCAAATCACAAATAAGGTACTTAAAACATAATTTTGTGAAATAGTTTGTAAGTACTCCACAGGAAATAAATAGCTAAGTTTTGGAGTTAATTAATGCTAAGCACAGAACATCAGCTAGCATTACCCATCCTGGATTAAAAAAAAAAAAAAAAAAAAAAAAAAAAAAAAAAAAGCTTAAATACCAACAATGTAGAAGGCATCTTAAAAAGATGAAGTTCACTTACTCATTTTCCCCTCTGAATTCTAAAACACTGGGTAGTTCCAGTTTCTATGTCAGCCTTTTGAGATTGAAAGAGATGGAATTTATTCCAATTGGAATTCTTTCAAAATCATGTCTTTTACTGCTTCAGCCATATCAAGCAGAAACTGTGATACTTTTCATTACACAGATCTATCTACTTGTAAAATTTAGCAGAACAAAAAAAGTGCTAAAATCACTAAATTCTCAAAAAACAAGAGTGCCATTGGTAAAAAAACCAAAATAAGCATTCAAGACATTTTCATTAGCATTGTCTTGTCAGTAATCCATTGAAGCCAAACCTTTGACTTTATGAATATTGGATCAATTAATTGCATATTTCTCTTAAATCTCAAGTATAAATACAGAGCTAGAAATAATCAAAATTTAGTTTTGTTCTTAAGAAAAGTTTAATAATGAAACTGAAATAAAAAACTTTGGCATGTCAGGCAGGAGTTACTGTTCCAAAACAGCAAAGAAATAACAAATGCTTAAACCCCAAATTTGAATCCATATTTCTAAAGACTTCTCTCAGCGGCCTTTTGAGAGAACTGCTCAGTCACACCAGTGATTTACTAATCCAGCTCAGAGGGATTTCAGAATTATTTTCTCTTATCATCCTGCCACTATCACAAGAGCCCAAAGCAATGTCATCACCCCTTGTCCAGTAATTGTGGAACAACACGAAGGACATGTACTGGGCACAGGCAACTTTCTGAATCTTCAGATTTTCTCTAATCCCTTTTTTAAAACAAGTAACTTTTTCAGGTGGGTGGGCTGAAAAGGTTACCCATGCAACAACCTTTATTTCCCAACAAATTCCATTAGTTGCACAAAAGTAAACCAAAGAGTAGTAGGAAGTAGTGATCATTTTGACAGTAACTCCTTTCGTCTTTTCCAGGCTATTTTGAAGTAGGCAAAACGTGTCTGATTTCTTTATCACATTTCAGCAGCCTATACATAGAAAATGGATAAAAGCTGACTTTATAGCTATAAGTCACTAGGACCAACAGAAACCAAAGCAGCTAAAATTAAAATTAACCACACTATTTGGTATTTTGTATAAAAAGAAGCCAACAAAAATTACAAATTCCCAGAAAGATAGGAAACTATTAAGGTAATATTTTGCATGTCACAGCAGAAACAACAACAGGAAATCTCTTAAGTTGTCCTACCTTCTTGAACTGCCTGAAAAGGATTGTTGCCATCCACAAATGTCACTGAACATGTGATTTTCTCTGTTTGTAAGATTTCATCATTCTGGTTGAGATCAGCTACTGCCATTCGAAAAACTTCCTCATCTTTTTTGGCAGATTCATCAAAAATTGCCCCTGTGGAGGAAAAAAAGAAAAAGAACAAAAATCACATTGCACCTTTCATCTGCAGTATTCCAAAGCATTAATCATAAGAACTTAAGACTTTTTTTTTTTTCCTAGATAATCCATTCCTCACTCCTTAAAAGACATTCTCTCTATACAGAACCCAGAAGATGATTCACAATATATAGAATTCTTACATTTTGACATAATTTAAGACATAGATTGAGGCGAAGCATTGATGCCAGCTAGAAATATAGGGGAAAACTAATTAGGCACAAAGCAAATGATCTGCATAAGAATATGGCCATGAAATGAGAACTGAGTTTCTTCCAAAGGTGCCATTTAATGTATTGAATTACTATAGTGGGCTAGGATCTATATTTAACATCATGTCTACTGAGAGTTAAAAAATATAAAATTCAAACAATGTGAGAATAAGCCTAAAGAGGTAGCAGCACTGGGAAAATGAGGTAGAATTGACACCCACAATCAATAGATAGGTCAGCAGCCAATATAAATTATTTCAAGTGTAATACCTCTAGGATTTGCAAAACAACAATTCCATCTAATTTTCTGACTCTAAGTCAGTAAGTTAAATTTAAATTTAAATGGTTAATTAAAATAAATTCTGCCTTTATAAAGCTCACAGAAAGTGAAAGTTCTGCCTATTTCTTCAAAACATTTAAGCAGAACGTTGTAAACGGAACCAACTCAAGAGGAGCTGGCACAGTGAGAGTGCCCAACCCTCATTTAGCCAATTCTTTAGGTGCATGGAAAAAGAATTCCAAGACTAATTTGGAGATTTTAAGCTTTTTTTTTCTTTAAAATATAGCATCACTTTTAGCATCACTCATTTCCTATCATTTTACACTTGCTTTTTCTATGAACTATTTATCCAGAGATGACTCAAAAAGTCCTATGACAAATACTAAATTGTTTGAAACCTTAAAATCAAGGCTATTAGATTTTCAAGCACCTTTAAAGCTTTCAATCCCAGTAGATTAGATAGACAGAAGAGCTGCTTTAAAACCAGACTTCTGAAAACCATGTTTATTCTTGAGTGTCTATTGTCAGTACAGAACTAATCTAAGGCAGTGAACTGTCAAGGCAACAAAGACAACAGGAGATGCTGATCACTGATAACTGCAGGTAAACACCCACAATCAGAGCTGGAAAGAACTGAAAACTATTCATTTAGAGGAAATGGCTACTTTAAGATAAATAAACTTCATACACAGTGTTTGCTGTGTTTTTCCCACTGACCTCTGACACTCATCTCCGTGCCAGCAGCACTCATCCTTCACGAGCATCATCTCTTCCTACAGTCTGACCGCTTTGACTCCAGCATTTTCCCTCCTGAAGCTCCTACCATCTGGAACAGCTGTTCTCTACCTCTCCACCTCATTCACCTGTCATCTCTGTGCAAATCTCAGTTGAAAACATTCATTTTTTCCCCTTGCCTCCATTTCCTTTTCCCTTGTTTTATTTAGCTCCATGAAGCAAAGGTGCACATGGCCAAGAACACGCTCAGTATGCAAAACATTACAAACCCTGTCTTCTTCACAAGAGTTATTTGTGGATACATGCAGAATTCAAGGGGACAAAAAACTGTGTCCAAGACACATCTTAAAACATGTTTCTTGCCTCATGGAAATAAAATCAAACCCACACAAGCTTCACTTGAGGGTTGCACCCATACTGATAATCATGACATGTCCCTACAAATATTTGAAGGAGTGATTCTACATGGCTACTTAGTAACAAGGGTAAAAGTAAGGGGTAAAAAAGAATTGGAAAATAATTATAGTAATTAGTCAAATTCTGTCCCTGTAGAGTTCAAATTCTACGCCTCTGACACAAATGCTATACTGTAAATCAAATATATACAGATTTCATGCACACACACAGGGCAGCTGATGACTGTGTTTCAGAACAGCATGGCAAAACAAAGATCTTCCATCCAACACTATGGAGTACAGCTTCTTATTCAACAAATGGGAAATACCATCTTAAGCCTGGCTTGGTCCCCAGAATAACCCAGGTCATTTATTGAGGAGAGGATACAGCAAAGTCTATGTTTCTTTTGTATGTGTCATCATAGAAAACCCCTTCAGCACCTTTGCCCTTCCACTGGGGAACTGAGGGCTGCTGCCAAGATAATCCTGGACTGGTGAATCCATCTGGGTTCTCAAGAGATGAACCTTCTTCACAATCTTGTCCTTCTTTTACACACAGGTATTCCTAATGAACTGCCATGGTTTCTTCTAGTTTCTCAGCCTGAAAGAAACCTCTGGCAGCACCTGAATGTATAAGAGACTGGGCTAGATCTAACTCCATGTTTTTTCACAAATGCTGCTCTTTCTCACTTGAGTACAATGCCTCTACTTTTGCTCTGACCAATGGTTATATTTTTATGGCTCCATATTTCAGACAAATTCCAAAATTTCTCCTATATCTGACACTTTAAAGGAACTACCTCACAGAAACATCACACATGTTCTAGTGTAGGAGTATCTCTGTAAGTAAAACACATAGATATATTGATGAATTGCAAAACAATTCTACTAAACACAGTTTGTGTCTGACCATCCAAGCAGGAATTAGATTATTTTCCTTTAGAAACTCAGGCCTTAGTCATTAGAGGATCTAACTTCTCTACATAGAAAGCTTTCTAAGATATAATAAAGGTTACAGTGTTACTTTCAGGAGATGGCAGTGCACAGCAGCACATGCATTACACTTTCAAATAGTGATAAGAGAAATTTTATTACTTAATTGCTCTCAAAATTTAATTTCAGTTCTTACATAAAATTGAAAACCTAAAAACAAAACAAAATCAAGCCACAAAACCACTGAATCATTTTTAAATTGTTACTATTCCCATATATATATAATTTTATGTCCCTGTTTCAGCTGTTTCTCACGTGTCTACATATCTGCCTATATTACAGAGAGGAGGTGGAAGAAATACTGCTTTTGCTTGTTTTAAAGAAAAGCCATTTCAATGAAAAGATGGAAGGGATTGTTTGGACAGTACTAGCACTGGTGGAATATTTTCCTTTCACTGTTATTTCAGGAATTACCTTCTAGTTTACAGGACTCATCTTTCTGATGCGTAAGAGGTATATCAAAATTTTTACCTGTAGCTCAACATGCAACCTTTAACTTAAGGTTAACTTAAACCGTAGGTATGAGATGTGATATTTTCTTGCCAAGTCCTGAAGTTTTTTTTGTGTATTCTTCAAAATATTGTCATTCAACCAAGTCAAGCAACAGAAATGAACAAAAAAAAAGGGTACCAGACTTGAAAATTACTTCCCTAGTGAGGCCTATATTCTCTCTCATTTCTTCATGTAGAGCTCGAAATGAGAGAACTGGGATGACCACAAACTTACTCGGAGTACATGTCTAGACTGAACCCTTTTGGCCATAAGAAAAATTGTTACAGAAAGTAATAAGAGCTGAGGAGGAAAATAAAATTATTTCTATAGATATTGTAAGGCACTCACTCTAGAAAAATGATGCAACATCATTATTTACGAAGGGAGAAAGTCTTCAAAACTATACAAAAGTAATGCTGTTTATTTCTCTTCCAGCCCCACTGCTCATCTCAGCTGGAAGTGCCTCACATTAAACATGTCATTTCTAACTGTGCTCAAGGAGCATTCCCATGATTGCATCAGGAGCTGACATGCTGACACAGCAACCACTCTGCACCAGTTTCCCCCTCCTGTTTTATTAGTATGTCATTACTTCCAGCTTTATTTCCAGATCTGTATGAGGACAGCACAAACATTCTTTTCTGGCTTTTTAAAAACTCTCAGCACATCAATAATGTTGTGTGGTTTAGCAGGGAATTCTTTGCATTTAGCTATCTCATTTGCACTCAGCCATGCCACCAGAAACCTGTCATTTTAAGTTAATATAGACCAAATCAGAGAAATGAACAATAAGTTCAGATACTGATAACATCATTAGAATGGCTTTTCAAAGATCCCTTGTCCTACTGACTGATACACACAAAAAAAAATATAATCCAAATTAGATAGCTTTTTCTAGAATGATTTGAGCAGTCTTGTGGAATCAGTCCAAAAAAAAAAAAAGTTAAATACGTCATGATTGCAAGGACAAAGAGAGAAGAGATTTAAACCATTGTTCGTCTTTCTATCAACTGAGAAAGGACAAAGTCCACTACTTGAAGTGTTCTCAAGTGCTAAAATTTTATTACATAAGAAAGTATGACATTTCTGGATTTCAGTGCCCCATATTAGTCTCAGAAAATTAAGTACCTTATTTCAAAGAGCACACGGATTAAATGCCATTGTGAATTGAGGTCACAGTTCAATTTCAGTGCATTTGATTTTCACCTTCTAACATTGCACACACACCCCTCACCAATAAAAGCCATGTATGCTTTGTTCAGTAATTTACTAGTTCATTTCAGGAATGTTTGGAGAGAAAAGGAAGAAAATGGGAAAAGTTTCTACAAAGAAACTTTTTGAGCAACTATCTCATGTTCTCAGCAGGTCCTGACTCGATGACAATTCTTTGTGCCACTGATATCGCTAACTTTTTCCAGTGCCTGAGTCCAATTACACTGCGTTTTCTCAACTGCTGCTATTGAATTATTATTCTGAATGAGAAACTTAACACTGCTGCTGGGAGAAGGATGGCCATGCTGTTAATGCTCAGAACTTGAAGCTGAGAGTTTTGACTTTTCACGGCAGATCTCATCTGAAATTTCCTTCAGATCTATGAGCTTATTTCCACAGGTCCAGCTCCCCCATGTCAAATACAGTTAGGAAACTTTAATTTCTAGAGGCCTAAAACTGGTATTTGAGATCCTTAGAATCATTGTAGAACCAAATCTCATTATTTCTAGGCCACATGAACATCTGGCTGGCAAAATTTTCATCAAGTCCATTCATTTTTAACTATAATGGCAAATGCCTGGGTATGTTGCATACTATCATGCCTGATTTACAGAATAAAGGCATGCAGCTTTAGTAGGC